TCGTCCTTCACCACCTGTCCCAGCCCCTCACCAGGTCTGTCTGATGAAGCTTCTTCAGGGTCTCTCTCCAACCGCAGCCCCTCCAGTCCTGGCAGAGACTCTCAGGTCCTTCACCCAGCCATCAGCAAGGACACTGTAACTAACTGGTTTTCTTTCACCACACCATGTTCACCATAGTTTTACCAGAATTATTTTTCTACGGGATAGACCTGATTATTTACTGTCCTTCTATTGAAAGAGATATGAATCTAAAATTACCCGGAGTAATAACCTAGTATCTCCCGTGTAAAATTATTCTTCCTTCGCCTGGCATGTATGGCCCTTAATGGGATGACCTCGCTCTACAGTTCAACTTCATCACCTGTCCTTCCCCTTAGAGAGCTTGAACTCCTGGCACACAGAACCGCCATTGAGGAAGAACGGGGAGAGGGGACAGCTCTGGGGCATCTACTCAGACAAGAGTGAGCTTTCTCCTGGGGCCGGAAGTGTGATGTTTTGGGGAGCCACCATCTCCAGTCCCAAAGGGAGGAGCTTCAGGGGAAGCAGGACCATCAGGGAAGGTCTTCAGCTTTAGCAGGAAGCAAATCATTGGCAAATAGTAGGGTAGTTCGCTGGTTTAAGTCCTGCGGCACAAAGTCCACAATGTTAGAGGTCAACGGGCCAGGAAAAATCAGGACCATTTTTCAGAACAACTGATCAATATAAAGCATTCTGGGTAAAAAATGTCAAGAGATTTGGAGAGGGGCTATCTTTTAATTTGTGCCAGATGATCTGTACATCTCTGAGGCCCAGAAAGTGCTTGATAAATGTTTGTTGAACAATTTATGTCTGTGACTTTTTTCACTTCACTCTATTAGTATAGTGTTTGCTTATAATGTTAATATTACATTTAATTCTATTGGATTCATTCTGGCTTCAAAAAGCCATTTCTTTCTTTCACTTAGGAAAATTTTATGGACTACATACCATGCATCTACATGAGAACATTTGTAGGGCAAAGATAGGATGACTGTTCTCCGTGAATCTTCATAGTAAGACATTTAGAGGTAGATGCCGGGGCGGCTCAGTGGGTTAAGAATCTGCCTTCGGCTCAGGTCATGATGCCAGGGTCCTGGGATCGAGCCCTGCATTAGCCTCTCTGCTCAGTGGGGAGCCTGCTTCGCCCTCCCTCTCTCTGCCTTCTTGTGATCTCTCTCTGTCAAATAAATAAAAATCTTAAAAAAAAAATAAACTTCATTTAAAAAAAAAGATGTTTACACATAATCTCTTACTATATGTATGTTACCAGCTTTTTCTTTTATCATCCCAGACCATGATGATTTGTGTAGCAAATCCTTCTCTCCTGGCCAATTTAAGAGAGATCGTGTATGATCTCTGTGTTGCAAGACTTTGTATGTATTATTATGCAGAATCATCATATGTAGGATTATTATTATGATATACCTGTATGTTGTTTATGCAAAGAAAAGTGATCTGGTAGAGTCTGGAAATGTAGCCAAAGATAGAATTCATTCTGCAATTTTTTTAAGACCTTGTCCAAACTCTCAAAAGGATTTTAGATGAGGTTGTTTTACCTTTTAGTAAATTTTTTTTGTCTTTCCTAAAAAGATTCAGTCCCTTGGAGTTGAGCGTAAGTAAAGACATAGATTTGGAAAGAAATGAAGAAAGTACGCACGTTTCCTTATAGAATCATGCTTGTGGAGCTTCCTTTTCCTGGCATTAAACATGGCGAAGATGCTGACTGATCCCAACTGGAAAGACAAGTAAAGTCAACTAATGCTTCCCGTCTCAATCTCTTACATACTTTTCACCATTTCGTTTTAAGTCAAAGAACCTGTGCCCTCTCAGCCTGCTTGCTGCGTTCGGCACCCACTCCATCCCAGTTTATGTCTGTTTACTCGGATGCTTTTGATCTCCGGCTTTTGTTTCTGACCGTCGCTCCATCTGCACCCAAGGTGTGGGGTAGGGTCTCCCCTCTTTTTGCCAAAGACCGCCATCGCCCGTAGGTGTGGCAGGACTCCAGGACCTCTTCTTCAGGTGGGATTTTCAGGGCTACTCCCAGCTTCTCTGGCCAAAGAAGGACAGTTCAGTTACCCCGACGACATGTGCGCACATGCATCTGGTTTTCCTCTAGGGATGCCCAGCCTGTCTCTTCTGAGGAGCTTTCTGAGCTCAGCCTTCCTCCACCTTCCCCTCTGACTTTCCCCTCATTGACTGCAGCAGGTCTCTGTCTTCTGTCCTTTGAGATCCTCTGCAGGCAGATGGACTATGGGCTGTCCTCCTTCCCAGCACTGCGTCTTCCTCCTTGGGCCCCACTGAGTCCTGATTTGTTGTCGTTTGGTGGGTTTTTGTTGTGACTTCAGAAGAAATGTTTCTAAACATTGCTGAGATGGCCCCTAACCAGAGGCTCCCTTTATACTCTCATCTCCTCTTGCAGACTCAACTTGTAGGGCCAGGTTCTGACCCTCCCCACAAACACAGAAAGCGTGTGAAACTCAAGTGGCCTGTTCATTTATTCTGGTAATTTTCAGAACTAAGAAACTCAGATTGTGACAAAGCACATTGGCTTTTAGCAGGTCCCAAATCCCGTAGCTTTCTTTCTGTCCCCTTGAGGACCGCCCTCTATCGTGGAGCTCGATCTCCAAAGCAGAGGTGGAAGCTCTGAAGAGAGAGCATCCCTTTAGCTCAATGTGTCAGGGTTCGTGCAGAGAAGCAGGTTGGCACCAACCAGAGGAGTAGGCAGAAGGCGGCCGAGTGGGCACGGCTCCTGCCAGGGTGCCAGGAGGGGGCGCGTGGCAGCCACCAGCCGTGCCCGTGGAAATCAGCCTGTGCCTGGCCTCCCGCATTGAGAAGATGGAGGAGAAAAACCCCGCAGGAAAGCAGCTTCTTGCCCAGACTGTGCTGGTCACCAGCCAGGAAAGTATGTGTTTGGGTGCTGAAACTAACACCACGTTTGCGTGCAGCTTTCCTTTGGAATTCCTCCCCAAGCTCTTCCAGACACACCCTGTGCCGTAGACATCCTGAGGAGGTCGTAAATTTTGCTGGCTCTGCATTATTTAAATCGTGCTTAGTCATTCATTCTCCTAAGGTCTGGCATATCACTTACTGTTTCTGTGTTGTCCTTTTTGCAGGTGTTTGAGGTAAAAATAGTTTCATCACAAATGAAAATATTTCTCCTCTCAAGCAGACACCAACACATAACAATATTGTAAAGTTGGAAATCTGTGCCATTTGTGTTCACCCCTGTTAGATAGTAAAGGCAGAATTAATACTTTTATTACCTTTTTAAAAATTGGAGATACTTATCTCAAAGCAGTATATAAAAGTTTCCTTATATTCAATAATATATCCATATATTAATTAGCTAAATATCTAGCTAGGCAACACAAAATACTGTTTATGCAACACAAAATACCTAGATTCTTTATACAGTTACCAATTCTACAGAGAAATCTGGCTTATATGATGCTAAGTGCATTAAAATATCATTATAGTAAATGTGCTGTATTTATCTGCCAGAGCTGTGCTTTTCCTGATAGATACTTTCTATAGACCTTTTGTTTTCATCATAGTTTAAATTTCAAGCATTTAATGGAGTGACTGTGTGAGACTTTTATTTTAACTCCCAGATATGGGGGTGGGGGGCAGAAATCCTGGCATAAGACTTCTACTTTAACACCCAGGTTAGAGGGGAAAAAATCCACTTCTCTCAATCTTTGGGAGGACACCAGGTGATGCCCACGGTAAAAAGACAGAAGGTCCAAAACAGCTCCTCATAGCATCTTCTAATGTTGTTATTTACGGAAACAATTTTGTACCTAATTCTAGACTTTTCTTTAGGTAGTATTTATTGTACGCCCAGTGCAATCCAGAGATACCTTAGTTCAAAAACAAAATCCCCTTAGGGAAAAAGAATCTTAAAGTCATTGTAAAAGTTCTGGAGATCTTTTGCACAACAATGCAAATATCATTAACTGAACTACGCACTTAAAAAAGGTTAAGATGGTGAGGTGCCTAGTGGCTCAATTGGTTAAGCCTCTGACTCTTGATTTTGGTTCAGGTCATGATCCCAGAGTCGTGAGATCGAGCCCCTCATTGTGCTCCCCGCTCAATGGAGAGTCTGCTTCAAGAGTCTCTCCCTCTGCCCCTCCCCCCACTTGCTCGAGGGTGTGTGTGCATGCGCGTGCTCTCTCTCAAATAAATCTTTTTTAAAAAAATGATTAAGATAGTAAATTTTATGTTATGTGTTTTTTAACCGTAATGGGGGGGGTGGGAATGAAGACACATAGTTACAAAGTGGATGGCAGTGGATTTGGTCTGGGTAGGTCTAGGAAGGCATAGTTGCAGGGACGTCTCCTCCCGTGAGTCAAGGCTGGAGAAAGACAAAACCCCCACCTCCATTGCCTTGGATATCTCTCTGCTCCTACACTGTCATTTCTGAAGGTGATGCCTCCAGCAACGGCGTCATACTGGGGTGTCTCCTGTGCCGACAGCCCATTCTCCGAAAGCTCTCTATCCCAATCCATGCCACATACTCTTCCTGGTACTTGCATCTGCCGGCCCGGTGGGTGAGCGGGCTGGCTGGGTTCCACGTCCAACCCAAGTGAACGTCTGCGGCAGAGCCAAGCCCGGGCTTTCAGCCCTTTTGTCCCATCGTGGGTCTTTTGCCTCAGCTCATTTTCTTATTTTCTTATGACACCCTCCCTCAAAGGGAATTTAAGATGTGTTCCCGAGGAAACCTGCTCAGGAAAAGTTATTTTATCCTAAGAGAACTTAGCCAGAAAGAAAGTTAAAATGAGATGCACCAGGAATATGATGGGTTGCTTGAGACCATAGCCAGTTTTCTTGCCTTTAATTTTTATAGATTACTTAAGTTTCTGAAAGCTTGCCTCTGAACTCAGGAATCGTTCCCATTTCCAAAGAAGGGGTGTGTTTTTTGGCAGTGGATTATTTTTGCTTCTGCTCATGCACAGTGATCTCTTTGGCCCTGTTTCCATTAGGAGATGAAAGCATGGAAATTAAAAAACAAATCACAGGAATGAGAAGATTACTGAATGATAGCACTGGGAGGATCTATCAACGTGTAGGCAAAGAAGGAGAAAAATTAAAAGAAGAGCCCCAGGATTTGGATGCAGTCTGGCCTCCACGTTTGAACTCCTCTGCTGAGGCCCCACAGAGCCTCCACCCTCCTTCACGTGGTGCATGGAATGAGTTACCACCCCCCAGCGGGCAGTTCTCAGGGCAGTATGGCACACGCTCTAGAACCTTCCAGAGTCAGCCCCACACCACTGGAAGCTCCAACGGTATGGTCATTATCAGACATTGAGAATGCTCGTGGGGGTAGGGGGTGTGTCTGTGTTTTATTTCTACATGTTCAGCATGGCTTTGAGTTCAGTACATTAAATCCTCCCCTAGTCACCTGCCTTGACTGAGTAATGCAAAGGGTGTAAAAAACCAGATTGAGAAGCAAGACTGAGGCTCTATGTTAGAAGTAACGATTTCTTAGTAGAGATTTCAGCCCTTTAAAAAGTGAAAGCTATTATTTGCCAACATGCAGATACTTTTATCACAAGAGACTGAACATTAGGGCAGAAGGAGCTCCCCTTTGTCATCAAAGGGAACTTCCGGTCATATGTATATTATGATTACATCCTATTCTTTTTTGTTTTTTGCTTTTCTTTGTGAGCACAAGACTTGTGGTGAAAGCGGGGGATATGTGTCCAACATCCTAGTGACACCTTCGCTTTTATGGCACGTTCCAGCAACAGCAGCAGGTGACCCTTGTTGTGGGGCAGGCTTCACTGGGGCTGAAAATTATCCCTTTAGAATAAAATTTCCTTAATTTAAATTCCTAATTGTTCAGAAAAAAATTAAATGGCATTTTTTTCCCAGAGCTTAAAGAAATTGAAAATTTTTTTCTGGATGTGTTAACTTTCCATTCAGTAACCTTGGATGTTAGTTGTCCCATAAATTATATATGGATGTGCAGATCTGTAGTTTTCAGAAAGAGAACAAGAAAAAGCAAGACTGCATTTTTCAGTTTCCTTGAAAAGTTAAGGATTTCCTTTTTCCATTCATTATTTCTTCAAGAAGAAAACTGATTTGATTATTTTTTAACACAATTTTCAGTAACTAGTTCAGAGGCACGAAAAGCCATCCCGAGGCGCAGCTGATGAGACAGGAGGGACCCCAAGAGACGTAGGGGAGTCTTCTCTTTCTCTCAATATTGCATAAGCCAGATCACATTCACGTGCTGGCATGCTTCCAAGTTAAGGGGACATGGCTCTTCAAAGACTTCTCCATAAAAATAAGAAGTCAGTTCTCTTTAAAATTAGAAAATGATTTATAACAAGCTGGAAAGGGTTGATTTGGTCCTCTAAAAATGATAAAGACAGTACTTAGCATAGTGAGTAGGAATATTCTATAAGACCCTCCTAATTTGACTGCCATGGAAGAAATGGTAAGAGAAATAGGACACCCTTAGATGTGTATGAAGTTAGTTCACCCAACATCAATAAGTTCTGTGTAAAGAGCGTTCTGTTTTACAGCATGCAACAAGGATGGTGGATTTACTTGGAGAAATGTTATTAATTTTAAAAGTTACAAACATAAATTCTCCCCATATTGGTTTGAAAACAGATTTTTTGTGTTTATTGTTTGCTTATTTTCAGTAGACATTCATCATCTATAACTGTGACTACCTCGAATTTCATTGAAATTGTTTGCAGTTTTTAAAGTTATAACATTTCTGTTTGCTACAACATTTGAGTGAAAGTAATTACGGTACCCCAAGCCTTAAGTTGTCCGTATGTGAAGTTTTTTGTAGTATCCTCAAATAACGCATACCGTAGAATTAATGCATTTAATGTATAACAAAAGATACCATTAGATCCAATCCTTCAAACTTTCCCACTGCGCCTAGGGACAACCTAAGTAACAGCAGCACATTCCAGTTCCCAGTGGTCGGGCTGGACACGGACACTAGAGGGAGCTCTGCAGAAAGAGGGATTTTCCAAATGTTCCACTGTATCCCAAGGACAAGGGGACAACCTCTGTTTACTTTAATAGGACAGTTTTATTAAGGAAAAGATACTAAATTGAAACAGAGATAAAGAGGCTAAAGTGATGGAAATGTAAAACATGAAGATGGAGAAAAGATGTATGAGGATCTCCTTCATTAAGGTGGAGGAAAGCCAACACACCCCCGGCCCGGAACCCACTGAGTCTGAATACAGCCTCCCAGTACACTGTGCTCCGCCGGCTCTTCCCTGCCCCGATATCCCACCCCTCAGAGAGTGTTCTAAAAGTTTTAATGTGTTGACAGTTCTTAATTTAGGGAAATACTAGAAAAACTATATATATATTTTTTAAAGATTTTATTTCTTTATTTGACAGAGAGAGACACAGGGAGAAAGGGAACACAAACAGGGGGAGTGAAGAGGGAGAAGCAGGCCTCCCACCAAACAGGGAGCCCGATGTGGGGCTCAATCCCAGGACCCTGGATCATGACCTGAGCTGAAGGCGGACACTTAATGACTGAGCCACCTGGGTGCCCCGAAAAACTATTTTTTTAATAGTTAGACAGATTTCACTTTTAACGTGAGATTTTAGAACAGGTGGGTCCCAGGTTTTTCTGGAAGGCCGTTTTTTTCAGAACTCATATTTTTGTACAATGGAGTGTGTGTTTCTAGTGAATTTTTACAGTGCTGTCCCCTGAGATGCACCAGTGTGACACTAGGGAGGCCTGCTATGAGCGAGCGTGGGCCCCCAACATTAAGGTAGTAACCCTTATTAGGTCCATTTCCCTTGGGCACTGTCTCATACTACTGTCAAGATACCTTCCTCCCCCTCCCCACCCCTTTGTAATTTTGTTGTTGATGCTTGGAGTGGGCCATTCTCTTCTCTGGTGCTTAGGAGAACTTCCGGCCATGAATTCGTCCATTGGATCAAACTGCTGTACTTGCAATTGCCAGTCGACGTTGCAGGCCATCCTCCAAGAACTCAGGACCATGCGGAAATTAATGCAAATTCAAGCAGGTATCGAGACCAGGCCTGGGAGGAGGCCCCTGGCTTGTGACGCCTTAGGCCTCTTGGGCTGGGACGGTTGTTGTGCTCTGCGTATCTGGTTCTTCCCACCTTGCTGTCCGCTGTGCTTTTTTGTTTCCTCAGCTTTTGCTCCAACACGTTTTTCCTGTAGCAAATCTAACAGGTTTCTCATCGCTGATACTACTCCTCATACACTGGTGCACACGTGCTTTGCAGAGTTCACTCCCTCATCTCCAAGGCCTTGACACGTGTCAGTTAACTGAGTTTTCAAACAGTCATAAGTGAAGGTGGGCATGGTTCTTCAGCTCACTTTCCCTGTGTGAGTCAGCAAGGAAGTTCACCTCAGAACAAAAGCATGGCTGACTCCTCTGACCTCCTGAGGTGCTCCATTTGGGGGCTGTGTGTGCGTCGGGAACCCCCACGCCCATCCCCCTCCCTTGTGGGGTACAGCGTGACAGAGGGGAAGCTGTGCACTGTCATACAGGGGCTGGAGGGCCCTCTCAGGGCACGGGCTGTCCTGGAAGAGACATTCACGAGCATAAGCACATGAGGTGTTGCCTCTTAGGCGCTGCTTCTGGCTTGTCTCCCTAATATTCAGCATATAGAAGCCCAAAGACACTGGGCGTCCTGTCTTCCTTAGTTACACGATGCTGCTTCTGTTCTCACTCTTGTTAGTCAAGTGGAGGGATGGAAGAGCCATGAGTCTGCAGGCTGGGGTCTGGGTCCTTGTTCTCCTCATGAAGCTGTGTGACTTCTCTGCTCTCACATTTATCCTCTGGAGCGGGAATGTTAATATCTAACTCGCAGGATGGTTTTCAAAATAGGATGAGTTAGTAAACGTAAATGAAGTCTGTAAAGCATGATACAGGCGGCAACTATTTCATTAGTGTTGTTCTAAAGACAGGAGCGGGTTCACCACAGCGGCTGTGGTGTCTAATCTCCATCAATGGGGGGAAATACAACTTTCTGGTCACAGGTCCAGAAAATACTAAGTCATTTCATTAAGGCCTCCTCTGCTGAGGGAAGACTGGTCCCTGAACAGGAAATAGTACAGTCATATACGGTCAGCCTTCCCATCCCTGCACTGGAAAGAGATTCAGGAAGGTCATCCTTCCAAAACCGTACTTGGCACCATTTGGTGAATTCTAGTAAAATTATAATATTCAGTGATGTGGTTTTGATATAAAAAGCTTAATACTTAGACACACTCATCACCCAAGAGCACAGGAAAGGAAGGTGAGCAAAAGGGCCCCTGAGAAGCAACATCTAATTGTATGTACTGAATTTGGTTTTAGCCTGAGGAAGGAATAAGCATTTTGGTCAGGCCAGTAGGCGTTCACTCATCTTGTTCCAACACAACCACCCATGTTCTTACTGACCCCAAAAGTTAACATCTCTTAAATGAAGAACACAGAAAGAAAGTTTACTCCATGATGTACAGATTCTTTTCTCGGAGGAAGAGTTTGTTAGCACTTAAGAAAATATGCATATGAAATTCTAATGATTTATTTTGTTACTTAAGCTCCTTACTACCGAAATGGCAAACTACGAATTGCAACCATTTAAATCCTTGACTGAAGCCCTTTTGGAATCTATTAAGTAAATGCCACTTTGTCACCGTGTTTTCTTTTCTGAACCTTTGCAGATTAGGCCGGTAAATGATTCCAGAGCTCGTAGGAGAGCAGAAAGGATAAACCGAAAAAATTACTCTTCTTTAATTTCCTTAAACTTAAGAATCTGTGTTGTGTGGGTAGATTGACTTAAGGCTTATTGCCTGTAACATGTAGATTTAAATTATATTCAGAAAGTTTCACCTTTGCTTGAGGGAGAAGAAAAGGAATACGATGAAATGATAACATCTGGAAGCAACCGAGGACAACTGTGTCTAGACTTGCCAACGGAGGAGAAAAACTCAGATAGTCCCTGTGTTCTTTAAAGCCAAAGCATTTTCACTTTTACTTTAGAATAGCGAGGCTTGGAGAGGTGTGAGTCCTGGACCACTGAGAGCTGCTTCCCTTGTCCATTTGACTTTGGGTATGGACACCTGGCCTTTGGTGAAAGTCCAGAGAAGAGACAAAAGTTCTTCTCTCAGGCTTGTATACTGGAATTACTGGTAGAGCTTTAAAAAAGATCTAAGTGCCCGGGCGTCACCCCTGCAAATTCCAATTCAGTTAGTCTGGGGTAAGGCTGAGGCACGGACTTTTTTTTTTTTTTTTTTTAAAGCTCCCGGGTGATTCTAATGTTCAGGCAAGGTCAAGCTCCAATGAACAAGACTAATTACTGCACAGGTGGCTAAAAACTGTTTCAGTGCTCCTATGAAGTACGAGTAGTTGGTTTCTTTCTTTCTTTCTTTCTTTCTTTCTTTAATCTCTGTACCCAACGTGGGGCTCAAATTTACAACCCCAAGATCAAGGTTGCCCACTCTTCCAGCTGAGCCAGCCAGGCTCTCCAAGTAGTTCATTTTTAATACTTGTAAATTTCTTGCCAGTCTAGAGATGCAAATACCAAGTTCAAAGTATAAATACCTTTATTTGCAAACTGATAGGAGATGATCCATATTTATGTGCATTTAAAGATCTTTGGTTTTCATTTGGCTTCTTTCTATAAAAAAGCAGGCATATCCTCTGATCATATTTAGTAAGCCATATTGATACATGAAGATTTAAATAATGATGCCGTGTTTTTCCTCCAACACTTTCCATCAGAATATTTCTAAATGGTTAACAAACATGACTTGCCAAAGAGCGTCTGTGAAAACTGTACTTACTATCCTCGGTTTCCTTAAGTGTAGATTCAGTACTGGTACTTGGCCTTTGTTCGGTGCTTTCGTCTTTGGAACTCCCTCTGTTTCTGGATTTTACTGGTCTTCTTGACTTGTGCAGAACTATGTCATTCCTATCTTTTAGCTACCTAAAACCAAGGTATAGAGGGCAGCCTGGGCAGAATGCAGTAGTGAGTGTAAGGCTGTGGAGATAGCTGGTGTGTGGACAGTATGGGTTTGTGCAGAAGCAGTAACCGTCCCTGAGAAATGATCAGCAGGCTTTGTCCACATACGGACTAGTCATTCCAGACTCGTTCTTTAATAAATGGTCACCATTGCTCAGTCTTAGTCAGTTTTGGTGTCTGTAGATTGCTAGCAGTTGATCATTTTATCCTCAAAGGACAATTAGAACATTCCTGAGTTTGGCTTACCAGGAAGCACGGACTGCTACACCCAGAGTTAAGTTCTGGGTTCCCATTTATATAAAAATGTCCTGTGACTTGTGAGATCAGGCTCAGTTATTTTCCTATGGCTCATCAACCCTCTCTTCCCCGGAGCTCAGCTGCAGCAGTCAGTATCATCATTCACCAGCGTGGGGGACAGAGTTTTCTCTGGGTTACTCTCCTGCACATACAACTCGACAATGCACCAGAGACCATCTTTGGTGACCTACAGGTCCCACAGGAGATTGCCTTTGGTCTGCTTCCTTGACTGAACCCTGTTTCAGTCTCAGCTTGTGGAACATGTAGATGGGTGATAATTTCTCCTAAGTTAGACTCAGGTACCTATACCCTATTTTTGTTCATTCTCCACAGTTGGAACCCAAAACAGACAACAACCCCCAATTTCCCTTATATGCTCCCAGCGAACTGCTGTCAATCGCAAGAGAAATAAAAAGAAAAAAGTGCCCCCAAAGACCGTTGAACCTCTGACCGTGAGGCAGAAGCCTGGCATGTTAGAAATGGAGAAGAAGACAGCCGGGGCATCCGAGCAGCCTGGCTCCCAGACTGCCGAGCCCCCCTCGGCCGGGGAGAACCGCGTGCTGGGATTCGGCATTGTCCTGGAGTCGCCTGCCTCAGATGTAAGTCCATGTTCTCTCGCTGCTGACACTAAGCTGATGTCACTTGCAGGAATTTTGTAGAATTGTACACTTTCTCCGTAGCTGGCTCCTCGTAAGAACACTAGAGAAACTTGCAAAAGACATGTGGGAAGGAGGAAAGGAAGACTATCAATAATTTCCTTGCCTAGAATTTTCTCTTCCCCAAATCTTCTACTTTCTTTATTTGAACCTGCCTCCAGCCTTTATCCCTGCATGGAAGCTGATGGAGTAAATAATCAGCTACTAATTTCTTTAACAGTTTTAATTCTGATGTGGCCGTTTTCAATTTCCTCATCGTAGAGAGCTAAAGGAACATAATTAAATCCTTTGTAAATGGGCATAAATGAACAGAACCTTACAGATAAGGTCACACCTTTCTAGAAACACAAACTAATAATAAAGAAAAAGAGCAGTAGTGCTAATTCTATTTTACAGATGCAAGCCACACTGCTAATTAGGTCGCAGTGCCATGCCATTTACTCTGTGTAATGATAGGTTAACGCTCTGCAAAGGTTTTTCTATTTTAATATCATAGCTAGAAAGTTGGTGCATTCCCAGATGTTGGATGACATCTAAGATATCCATCCGACCAGCCATTTTATAGTCCTCTGATCATAAACTCATGTCTTTAAGAATATGCTATCTTTGCAACTGCACAGGCTTTTCACAACATCTTTATCTAAGTACATGGATGCGAGCCCCATCTTGTTGGGGGAGTTCTTAAAATAAACAAGAATGAGTGATCTATTATTATCAGTTTGCATAGGATGAGAATCCTGCTGAGAACACCCACAAGCCTATATGGGATTGGAGTTCAGCCCTACCTTTTAAACTTTAAATAAAAAATAATTGCTATTAAAAAAAAAAGTGTTCCCTTTTAAATTGAAGTTTGCTAGTATATATCCACATTGGGTCTTTACTAAAGGGAGGTGACATTCTTAGACTAGAAAGTCATTTGAACTTTTGCCCAGTCCTTAGTGTGAAAGGGTTTTCTTGTTTTTGTTTTTGTTTTTTATCTTTGAACGCAAGCTAAAATTATGAAACAGTTCTTATCAACTCAAAACTAAACTTCAAAAAAAAATCACTAATGATGATAATGTTCTACCCCAGGCCAGTCAGCTGATTTGATTATATCATACGCTTACTGCAACTAAGGCCCTGGTTTCAAAGCACAGATAGATCACATATTTGGAAACAGAGGTGAATTATTCCATGACACAAAGTACATTCCATCTTAAGCAGTTTTCGTAAAACTTTTATATTTTTCTTGAACATTCCAAGAGTTCTTTTCTGATAGACACTAATGTATCAGGAGCCATCATTTGAATTGCGTAACTCATCTCCTAAATGGGTCACTTCCATGCTAATAACTGAACTTCCTCCTTTCTTTATTTTTAAGCTCCAAATATATTTCAGAGGTAAATTGAGGAAGATCTGATAGAAGCCTTATGTACACTAATAAAACAGAATAGAATTTTACCAATATGAGCATAATTTTGCTTATATGCCAAATAAAAACAAATTGCCTTTTATTCATGATTATTTTTGCTAACAAGAGCTGTTAAATTTAACAAAGCACATTCAGAATTGTCCATGAAAACTCAGTTAGATGCTGATTATCTTTGAATGAAGAATAACATGCTTCTAAAAGCAAAAAATATATAGAGATAATTATCTTTACATTATCCAGCTGATATACCATCCGATTCATCTGTTCAGCAGAAACTGTACCGGCGCCAAGAGCTCTGTGCAATGAATCCCATCAATGGGTGAGGCAGTTCTGTCCACAGATGGTGTTCACTGGCATTAATGAGCCAGCTTCCACGGTCGCTGGGCAGGGCAGGTATGGGGGGCAGGGGAGGGTGTGTGGATTGACTCCCTTAGTTGACAGAATCATCAGTGCAAAGGCATCTAGATTTAGGTGCCCTTCTATTCTTTATTATTTCTTAGCCATGTTCCTTTTAAATCTGGTGGAAATCCAGAGGAGAAAATAGGAAATACATAATGATCTTGTAGGAATTGTTCTATAGAATGAATATGAGAAAATGAAATATAATTGGATTATATATAAGTGGATGGGAATTCTGTATTTGTGGATTTGAAGATGGCCCCTAGGAAGTACCCAGCAATGGGAGGATTAGGTCCAAAGCTGTAGGATTGGGCAAGTGGCCCAAGGCTGCTGGAACAGCTGTCTGGCCAGCACTGGTAGCAGATGATGATACAAAGGTAGTATGGGGCCAGGTAGTGAAAGCCCTACTATGCCATGCCGATGCCCTCGACCTTCATCTTGTGGACACTAGGGAGCCATTGCAAGTTTCAAGTAGAGGAATGGTCACACCTGTGTCTTAAGAGTGGAGAGTGGCACTGCCTTGTAGATGAGAGAGAGATGGAAGAAAGATAGTAGAGACCAAGAGACCAGGAAGAAGACAGAGTCGGTCGGGTCTGGGAGGGTCTACATGAGCAGTGAGCCTGCAGAAAGAGAAAGGAGCCATTTAGGAAGTGCACAGAGGCCTTGGTGGCTCGGTCGAAAACAGCCCCCACATTTCTCTTTTGGATAACCAGGTTAGGCACTCGGTTAACTGAGATATAGAGGAAACAAGGGCAGAAGAGGGCCTTCAGCTCCAGATGGGAAGCACAAGTAAGTGTATCGCAAAAAAGTTCTTAGATGTTTGGAGGGTGGCAGAAAGATCAGAGCTAGAAGCAACAAGAAAAAGACACGTAAAACTTGTGCTTTCACGGCATTGTTAGGTGTTAAAATTCACATTAATTTTTTTTCATTCACAGTGTATTAAGTCCTCTGTTTTGCACCATGACTTTTAGAGTCACCCCCAATACAGATTTGTCTAGGGGCCGTGCAGGGCCTTGCAGGGAGACCACCTGTCATCTGAGCCACAATGGTTACCCCTACTCAGATGTGTAAAAACTGCACTCTCACCAAAGCCACCAGCACTGACCCTCTGAGTGTTGTAAACACTAAATGATAGAGAGCATGTGCGACTGCCCTCCTGCAGTGCCTGGCACGTAAAAGGTACTCAATAAATGTGACTTAGTCTGCAAACAACAAAGCAGCTGCATTTGCATGAAGCACATTATACAAAATAAACTTTGGAAGCTTTTAGATCTAGGGCTCAGCTTTAATTAGAAACCTCTCTTCACCTTAACTCCCATTTCCTTGTTCTCTCCTCGTTACCCTTCTCAGTACCCCTTCCCTGGGCTCCAATGTAATTTTTTTTAAAGATTTATTTATTTATTTGAGAGAGAGAACAAGCACTCGTGCATGCATGGGAGTGTGGGGAGGGGCACAGGGAGAGGGAGGGAGAGAGAGAGCACAGGCAACAGGGGCAGAGGGAGAAGGGGAGAGAGAATCTCAAGCAGACTCCCTAACGAGCATGTTGCCCAATGTGGGGCTTGATCTCAAAACCTTGAGATCATGATCTGAGCTGTGATCAAGAGTCAGATGGTCAACCGCCTGAGCCCCCCAGGTGCTCCCAAGATAATTCTCTTTTATAGAACTTTTTATACTAGTCTGTAATTATTTACATGATTTACCTTCCTTCCAGGAAGGAATGCCAGTTTCTCCAGAGAAGGGGCTGGCTATATGATAATAATAGTATTTGTGTGCCCCCCTTGGCTCAATAATTTTAAATCACTTTCATCCCCGCTCTCTGAGGTGTCATTACTGTTCTCGTAGACGAGGACACAGTGGCATAAAGGGCTTACATAGCCTACTTGGGGTCCCAGCCAGAAACGTTGAGCTGGTTCTCACACTCAGGTCTGCAGTTGCCCTTAATCACCAAGTGACACACTTGGGCATCTGTTCTAGCTCTGTTCCTCTATGTGACCCTCACTCAGTAACTGGTCACAGGACGATCATTGTGTGAGGAGAACAGAAAGGTGGGATCAAGGCAGTTCTGTTTACTTGGAAGGTTCTAGGAGAGAAGTGAATGGTGAAATCTGAAATCAGGCTGCCTTTGTGAGAAGCTCAGCCAGGTAGCCCTCGCCTCAGTTTTCTTTCCATAAAATGGGAATAATAGGAACGCTGACCTCCTAGAACTGGCTTGCTGGAAGAGTTACATGAAGTCATCTATCTGAAGCACTTTGAATAGTTCCTGGTATTATTTAAATACTCAATAAATATTGGTTCTTTTTTGAACCGTAGCAGTCCTAGCTGATTATATTATAGGGACAGATCTAAATGTTTGTTAAATAAACTGAAGTGTACATGTAAATGAATAAATACACACGAATAAATAGTGTTTATAAAAATAGAGTGGCCAGAAATGTTTCTACTTTGGGGAAGAAGTATTTGACCCATTTTAACTTAGCACATTAAATAAAATTCAAGCCTAAGTTCCACAGACGCCAAACCAGGAGCCCAAAACCCAAAACCGAATTTCAAATTTAAATACTACATATATATATAGTACATATATATATATGTTTATGATAATTTTTAATAATAGAGCACTTTTTTCTCTTTATTGGAATTATTGTGAATACTTTCCAGTAAACCTAGATTATCCAAATTTAAAAGGTATCAGAAGATAAATCTATGGCTAGTCATTAACTGAAGATAATTTCATTAATGTTTATACTAAGTCATTCTTCCAAAAATAAATAATTTAAAATGTATTGCTGCTCTCAACAGAAGTAACTTCTAAAATCAGAATCTGGTTTCTTAACACCTTCTTAGCCCAATAAATATGTCACCCACTGGAAACTAGTAAAGCCAATCAGTCAAGCAGGTGACTGTTACTCACTGACACACTGCACTTCAGGCAGCATATGCTTAAGTAAGGATGTTCCAGTGCCGACTATTCGGGTTCAAATCCTGCCTTTGCCCCTAATTAGCTGGATAATCTTAAACCAGTTATCTGACCTCTCCAAGCCTTAGTTTTTGCATCTGCAAACTGGGGATAATAAAATACTCACTTCGCAGGGTGAGGATAAAAGTTAGAAAATTCCACTTCATGTGGGTTAGC